AGTAAGATGCCTAGTCGCCGAAAAAATGAAGAAGGAAAGCAAAAGTAAGGAGAGAATGAAATTTACTAGAAAAAAGGTTGGAAAGATGGACTGGAGGCTTAAGAGGGCTTTCTCTTCTTTGAACGATGACTAAAAAGGTGGTGGTTCTTCGAAGTAGTAAGTCTCCGGCGAATTGTCCAATGATTTCTCCGATGAGAGTCTGGTGACCAAAGGAGCAAAAGTGAAAAATGGAGGACAGGGCTCTGTTTATATAGGCCCTGTCCTCATCATTGAGCACAAGACACGATGACAGGCGCATTCAATGCGCACGATCTCCAAAGGGCAAAAAATGGCTAAGGCAATGACGAGGCAGTTAAGCCCTTTCACCTTCCGACGACATGTGTCCCTTCCATACAAAGATCAAAAGGCTGGAGACAGTTGATGGGACACTTCGAGGAGGGGTGTTAGATCAACGACGCATGTCCTCGGCACCAAGACCCTTGCTATGACAAGACATGTTCCTCGGCGCCAAGGCATATGCCCTCAGCTCCAAGGGTACCTCCACTCAGGGGAGTCAAGTGTCCTCAGCTCCGAGGTACCCATTGAAACCCTGATCTTGCCACTATCTCTCGACTTCTGGAAAGGCTACTGATTTACAATTGAGCATCTAAACTAGACTAGAAATCATGAGGGCACTCTGCACAATGAAGCCAGAACAGTAGAATAAACTTGACATTCAACCAAGGGGAGTCAAACACGTGGCTTAAAGCGTAGAATAGGGGTAAAAAGATAGAACTACCCCTATTGACACGATTGTTTCAAACAAATAATTAATGAATCCTTAAGCGATGGAACATCCATAGTAGCTTTGGGAGCTGAGGAATGGGAGCATTAAATGATCCAGGACCCGTGCATTTAATGTCCCCACATTGAAGAAAGAGCATTAAGTGCTCGACACACTGAGCAATTAATAATAGGGGTTCCTATGCAAAATAGGAGGCACACTGCCCCATTTCTAGACACTACCTATTGTCTAGACCATCAGTAATGATGGGTCTTTGAAGGTATAAATAGTCCTCCAAAACACATTACAAAGGTACACAAATTCACCTCTCAAAAGCAATACAGTGTTTTCTTCTTCCCCTTTCTCAAATAACTGACTTGATTGTTGGAGGGGATACGCCGAAAAATACTTCGGCGCCCTTCTAACTTGTTTTCTGTGTGCCAGGGATGACCAGCCACCCCCCAGGATCGACCGGATAATCCCAAGAGCAGTTCATCATCACTCCTTAGACCCCTTTTGGCCTTCTCAACTCTACTTGTTGCAGAATCCACCACATTGATGAACTCGAGTTCATCTGGAGAGAGATCTATTCCCATCACATCTATTGGGCAAAATTTATCGTGCACACTAATGTACTAAGGTATGGGAAAGCAGAGCCTAGTCTCAAAAATTGACTCGTAAAAGTTGACCTCATTTGGACTGAATGAATCAACTATTTTTTCTGGAGAAAGCTAGCAAAATCGTACCGAATTAGGGATCTAGTACAAAGTTCTAATTCTATTCAGAGCACTATCTATAAGAAATATCTGAAACAATATGGCCCCCACAACTTTGAGTGATAAAGAGGCCACTTCAAAGATGTAGTTGGACTCTTTGCTATCCCTATCAACTTTGGATACCAATGAAGGGGTTTTCTCAGACAAAATACGCTCTAAATGACTATGTTCTCTAGCCGTAGCGATGGAACTACTATGGCTAACATAGAAATTTGGAAGTGGAAGACAACTAGTCCTACGGATAAGAAGAGAAAGCCAGGAATCAAGTATGACATCTAGTCGGAGACGAGTAGAATTGTTTACAAGGAACCCTAGAGGAGCCAGGTTGTGATTCTTCCACTGAAGGAAACAGAATCTATAGAAGTGGAATTGGAAAGCGTAACTCCATCCTAAGTGCTCTAGTTTGAAGGACTTGAATGCATAAAAGAAAAGGAATGTGCAAAGGGAAAGAAAAGTGTATTAGGGATTCTTAAAGTTCTTGGAAATATGATGGAAATCAATGTGGTACGTGGTTCGATATATCGCTGGTTCATCTTCAGTTATTTGCACCTGTTTGGTTGCTTGGCTCCCTTGATCAAACCTGTGAGTGCACCTAATGTAGTTCCTACAAACATCAATCAATTAATTTGATAAGTACTTATTTATACATTAACCTTATGGGCTTAAACCCACAAAAGGCAAAAGCTTTAAGGCTTTAGTTTAGTGACATGATATTGTGTGTTGAAATAATCGCCTAATTAATTTAAAAGCAAATAGGAGAAGGTTGTTTAAAGTCATGAAAGAAATTAGTTACCTTGGGTGTTTGGCATTGCGGATCATTTTTTGTCCATACTTTCTCCATGCATGTCCATCGTCAATCAAAATAGGGCTAACTTTTGTCCATGTCTTTGAAGTCTTCCTGCATGTGCATGCATGCCAAATAGCAACATTATGTCAGCACCTTCATATCATGTCATACATATAAATCAAGCTTATAATTAGATAACACTGATTTTGAATTGATAATAACCATTGACTATCTATATACTTTGGGTGTTTGAATTGAATTGATGCACATGAATTGATAATTATTGTCCTTTTAAGAGATGTATTGGCAGGGCAGTTATTTACTTATCTCTGTTTGTTGAAGATTATGACTAGACCAACAGTTAGTTAGTGACCTCTTCCTCCCCAACTTTGTCCTCAACCAGCTAGCAATGACATATTAGAGGTGACCTCATAGGATATATAAAAGTCAATTCTAGGATATATTTTTAGCTTTAGTTTAGGATGCATTTTCAGCTTTAATGTATGATATTAATTTTGCTTGCTTTAGAATATGTTTTCAACTTTAGGACAAAAATGAAACATGAAATGTCAAATAGGTGCATTTAGTGTATGACTACTTTGAATGGGGAATTGAACATCGATGAATGTAGTTACTTGCTGATTTTCTTAGCCATGAATTGGTTCCTTTCTGAATATTTGGTAAGTGGTGCACTTTGGAATCTTACCCTTTTTCTTTGGCTTAAATAATGTTGACTTTTTAATGGATGAAATTTTTAGGATCATCAATTGCAAATGTACACTGTTTGATAAAGTATTATTCTATTCTCATATATATTTTTCAGCTATAACTTTGTTTTACTGTTGCGGCATTAACATTGTTTTGTTTTCACAATGCTTATGGTATTTTTTTTTCTCTACAGTTGAACAATATCTTTGAAATTATTAATAAATTTTTTTTAATTATATATTACTTATTGGCCAGAAAAATTGACAATTAACTTTTAAGTTGATTTGAATTTTTTTTTCAAGAAACTTTTGCCAAAATCAAATGAAATGAGGTTCATTTCAGCATAGTGTGAGTAATAAAGTGTAAATGTAAAACCATTTGTATATAATTAAAATACTTTGTTTTGCCGAATTGCTCATTCGACCATCATGTTATATTGAAAAAGTTTTCGTGAATGAAAATTATGAGGTTTGTGTATATTTTTGCAATTCTACTGTTTGACCTTGCAATTTTTGTTTCTTTTTTTTTTTGTCAATTTTTTTATTTGTAGTCGTGCATGCTTCACTAATTTGTATTTACCTAACTTTAGGTAGTTCATTCAAAAGTTTCAATTACTAATTTAAGGAATTTTTTATTATTATTTGGTTGCTCAGTTGCCACTATGACTACTTTAAATCAAGCTTAATGGGTTTTATGGTTATTCAAGGGTAAGAATTGATGTTTAATTAAGCATAGAATTTTTTGTTGTTCCATGGAGGAAATAATGTTGCATTGCTATAAATAATTCATCTCTATGTAATATTATTAGATAAAATGTGTATGCGTGATGATCGTGAGTATTGAGTTATTATGTGCATATTTAATATAGGGTTGAAAATATTGATGTGATAGTCAATTATGGTTATTTAAATTCAGCTCAATTAGTATTTATGGGTTCTATGATTTCTTTTTTGTTTACTAAATTTTTTTTTCCTATTTGCTAATTTTTGTGGGTTTGATTTTTTATTTGAGTGATTTTGTTGTGTCACACAGTGCCTTCAGGCACAGACATTAGCTAGTCAATTAATATTATTGTATAACAAGCCTATACTCCACGGAACTAAAATCACCCACCTCTCCCTCACTCCCACCTTATTGCACTATGTCTTAGTGTCTCTCTCAGACCACTAGAACGCCTCCAACAACCTCCATCAACACTCTTTAACAGGAACCCCATTGATGGAGATTGCAAGTTCACAATGGAACTGTTCTGATGGGAGTATGGTGGGATGGTTTGGTTTTGTGGAGTGTGTTTGAAGAGAAAGGGGTTGGGGGAGCTCTAGAGGTGGCGAAGGTGGATCATGCAAGGTGGCGGTGGGTGCATAAATTGCAATTAATGGATAACTCATAAAACAAATTCTATATTATTGTATTTAACAAGTAGAATTAGTTGGATGACTGGAATTAAGTATCATGCATAATTATAACTATAGGTAATTCCATTATTAATATTGAAATTGTAGTTAATTATCAAGTATTCAAATTCTTAATTAAATAATAATATTATTTACATCCTGAATTTCTCTAACATACGCTTGAAGGGCATTTTTGGTATTGTAGGGACATCAACTTTGACAGTAAAAAATCTCTTGACACTTGATACCTTATTATAACATTCGATTCTCTCCATGTGACATACGTTTGCAACAAAGTGTCTGCGTGATGTTTACCTATAAATTAAACTTCAACCCTAAAAAGTGAAAACTAAGGAAGACCTCTCAGTAGACACTAGTCATCTGTCAGGTGCACTTCCGTTGTCCAGTTTGATTAGTGACCTCCTTTGGTCTTGGGTTTTTTTTGCGATTTCCTTATGCACTGGTGCAATCCAATGGGTATTTTATTTTAAATCCGTGGAATATTTCCTCTCCCCTAAATCCTCTCTTTGTGGCTGCAAAACCTCCTCAAAATCTCCTCTCTCTCTCTCTCTCTGGCTGCCAAATATTCTCTCTTTCTCTCTCTATAAATTGTTTTCTTCTGTTTCTTCTTGTTTTCTCCTTTCAGAGAATACCCATTTCTTCTTTCGTGATGATGATTCCAATGGATTGATTGGTTGAGCTCTTTATTACCTCTGTAGACAAACCCACCATGCAGACTTCATCTGTGACTCAAGAAACCAGTAATTCTTTTGGCTTTGTATCCAAATTGGGTCGCTATGCATTTGATTTTAAGTTAAACAACTTAAATTCAGAAGGGTACCCTTGTATTTTGCCCAATTTTTTGTACTTCGATGGGTTTGGGAGTTGGGTTGGTGAAAAGAAGCCAAAGGTTGTGGCTTCTTTGAGTTTGAATAGTAAATGCTCTTCAAGTTTTCGAAGAATTCTCAGTGAGTACAATAAAGCCATTAGGTTTCATTGTGAGAGAATCCCTCTTGGGTTTGCCTCGCTTGGTAATCTTTCTGAAGAGAATAATGGGTTGAGCGATAATGGAAGTGGTGTTTTGGAGGGTGAGGGACTACCCTTAAATGGAATTGAATCAGATAATCCGAAAAAGGTGCTCATTTTGATGAGTGACACTGGTGGGGGTCATCGGGCTTCCGCAGAGGCCATTAAGGCAGCGTTTAATGAAGAATTTGGTGATGAATATCAGGTGAGTTTTGATGGATTGGTTTGAGTTAATAAGGAGAAGTGTTGGTGTACATATGATTATATAATTGTTGATCATGTTCTGTTGTTAAAGATTGTGTGTTGCAGGTGTTTGTTACTGATTTGTGGACAGATCATACTCCTTGGCCATTTAACCAATTGCCACGAAGTTATAACTTCTTGGTGAAACATGGGCCTCTGTGGAAAATGACATACTATGCTTCTGCTCCTCGTCTGGTGCATCAATCCAATTTTGCTGCTACATCAACTTTTATAGCTAGGTGAGACTTTTTTCATATTTTAGTTTGCCTCTAATAGTTATTTCTTGTGATTGATGTGTGTATATAATATATTTTGGGTGTACATTTGGGGCTGCAATCTGCGATTATCTGTTCATAAATTTGAAACAAACTATTTTGTAATGTTGCACAGGTTATTCAATTCACTTGAAAGTCCCTTGGTCATATTGAATACAAGACCTCTGCTCTCATGTGAACTTCCACCAAGAGTACATCTTCGTGTTCAAAATGAAAATTTCTATATATTAGGGGTATTGAAAAGTGAAATATTTGTCTATTGACATATAATCAATTTTATCACATGAAATTTCTGCATGGAGGCCTTTTTTTGGAGGAAACGATATGGATTATTCAGTCATGTTGTTTTGAAGTAAAACACCATTACTCAATACTGGTTCTTGACGATCAAGGATGCTGGGAGGAGGGGCTTATGTTGCAACCTAACCCCTGCTGGGGGAGCAGATTGGGAAACCTATTATCTGGTTTTGTCACTATGGAGAGGCTGCCCTCATCTTGGACCCGCTGTCTCGTGCTTCACACCTAGCTTGTATTTCTTCTCTAATCAGTGTCTCCCTCCATTATGATGCAAAACTACGGAACAAATAATAACAAATGGATGTAGAAATTGTTCTGCCCAGTTTTTGTTGTCCTTGTTTTATTCAATTCATAAGACTAATCAATCCTTCGATTCAAGTCATGTTGATGGATCTATCTTGATCTCATTGCGATCTTAAAAATTAAAGCAATAAAAACATAAAATGATAAGATAAAAACATCACATCTAATTGGACCTCGATCGGGTTCATCTCATATAATCTTGTTGGAACATTATTCCAAAACAAGTATTCGGTAAGATAATATACCAGCAATTGTAATTCCAGAGGTAATAATTATAAGTTAAATACATGGTGCATCCGGAAAGATGACTTTATATTTTGCATGATGAGTTAGTGTCTTCATGTTCCTCCAGGTTGACATGAAATCTACTTTATGGTGGTTTATGGATCCACCAAAAAAATTATGCTTTTCTCCCTAGATTTATGGCTTCTGCCCCTGTTGGTGATAATGATAACACTACAATATCTTTAGCCATAAATCTAGAAAGAACCCAACATTGTTTCATGATCATATTGTAATTCACACCTTGCATATAAGTGCAGAGCATTGTTTCCTTCAATGCTTGATGTCACAAACGATGGAGCAAATTGATTGAAAATGTGGAATAATGTTGCATGCAATCAATAATATGGTGGAGTTAATGTAACGAAAAGCTTCTATGTCTAGGGTTTTAATGTGTGGATGTGGAAGAGATGTTGTAGGTTTAATGAATGGGGTGGTGTTTAAATTGGTTAGCTCTTGGACCTGTTTGGTTGCTAGATATTTTGTGAAAACATTTCTTGAATTTCTGGAGCATGATATTGACTGTTGGAGTGACGGTTTACAGGATACAAAATAATTTAGAGTTACTAAGTTAGGTTAACCGATCAGGCCTATCGTAGTTAGAGCAGTTGTGATGTTAGGAGGTTGGGGGGCTAATTCCTATCAAAGGCAAGGATTGATCTCTTATGTCCCTCTCTTTGGGAGTTGAATTCTACTCTTCTTTGTCTCTCTTTTGCATGTCAGAAAAATCAAGTCGAGTTAAGCCGAATAGATTCTAGTGTCTGTTCTAGGATCTAACTATTCCCTTGAAAGTACTGATTGTGTTCTTTTAGGCTACTTGAGTTGATTGATTGATGTAGGAACGTGTTAGATTTGGACATATAAGATTTTCGTCTAATAAAGAAGTAAGCAAGATATCCTGGTTGCAATTTTATAAGTGGAGAATAATAAAGAGAAAAAGAGTATATTAGACAAAAAAACTTGAAAAAGGAAGTTGTTGATTCAGAAGAATTCCTTAGGCATCACACTACGGTTAAGATTGCATCACTCGATCCCAAAGAGCATCAAAAAGCTCTTTAATTTCTTTTGAAGGTTTTCTCAATTCAAAAGAAAGGCATGATGATTTGGTCATATAACTCTTGCCTTCAAAATGGGCGAAATATCTTTGAAATTAGGAGAACATTTCAAAATCTTAGTACGTATTTGAGGGTTCCATGTGACCAAAGGATAGTGTTTGCTATATGGCAATGTTAACTCTAATGGAATTTGGAATAGTGCAAAAAGTGAAATACTTGGGTAAAACCTTTACGACCCAAGTAGTCACATTAGTCATCACTAATGTTACCCAAAGTGCTTATACTCCGTATACTGTGAATTGGACCGATCAAAATCTTGAGAAAAAGACTATCTTCTTTTTTGGGGGGATGAGGAGGAATTCAGAAATTTAAAGATTGTGGAAGTTTTTGGGGTCATTTATGGGCTTAAGGTCTGTGTATAAATTCTAGTCAGGATGAGATAGATAGGTTAGCTGTGGAGTTGGGCTGCACAATAGGTTGTTGCCCATTAAGTATTTGGGTCTCCCTTTATGTAGTAGTCCAATGTGTAGGTCTTTTTGAGATCCTATTATTAAGAAATTGGGGAAAAGATTGGATGGACGAAAGAAAACTTTTATTGCTAGAGGAGGTAGATTACATTGATTCAATCATTTTTGGCTACTATGCCAATTTATTTCATGCCTTATTTGGTTCCTAGGAAGATTGAAGGATTGATGATGAATTTCTTATAGGAAGGGGTGGGAGAGGGTAGGAGGGATCACTTGATTTGTTGTCGATTGCGAATTGGTTGAAAAGAAATGTAACTTTGGTTGGGAAATCACTTTAGAGATTCCCATTGGAGTGACATTCATTGTGACACTCGGTTATTAGGAGCAAATATTGATTACAAAAAGGAGTAGTTTTTGAAGGCCATCGAAGTTTATTTCTCAAGAGTTACCTCTTAAGTTCATTGTGGTAGATAGAATGAGTGTTCATTTTTGGGAGGACATTTGGGCTGTAAAGTCTTCTTTCTCTAGTATCTTTCCTCGTCTTTATCGATTATCTTGTTATAATGATCATTCAATTGCATCTTTCGTTCGGTCCTACTCTTACCACATTTTTTTTTGGAATTTTGGTTTCCATAAAAGTCTTAATGATAAAGAATGTTCGGAGTTATTGGTGCTTCTCTCTATGCTTAATAATGTTTCTTTGATCCAAGATCGGCTAGACAAAAGATGTTGGACTATTGATCCAACGGTTGTGTTTTCATGCAAATCCTTCCTTGATTCTTTGATTGATGTTTCCACACTTCCATTATTTCTTCAACATTGATTATTTGGAAAGCTAATGTGCCTTTAAAGGTTTAAATTTGTGTATGGTTGATTGCTCGCTCATGGTAAGATCAACACTAATGATGTGCTTCAATTCAAAGAAGTAGACCTAAGACTTGTCTTGTACCACAGTGATGTGTCATGTGTAGAGATGGAAATGAGAGTATGGATCATTTATTTTTTCATTGTCTCATGGCGCTCTCACTTTGGAATAAGTTGTTTAATTTAGTGGGACTTTGTTGGATGGCACTTAGTTGTATTTCTTGGCTTCCTTTTGAGCCTTAATGTCTAAGGGCTTTGCGGATATTCCTCTCTTTTGTATTACTGGGAGCTGGCCAACTTCTTGTATAGGTATGGTCAATTTCCATTGTTATGACTATCTGTCATTTGTTTTCACCTATCATTGCGTAGGATTTTTTTTTTTTTGTTGTGTAGGATGACTTATCCACCTTTGGCAGGGTTTGTAACTTTTCTTATTGGTTGTTTATTAATAAACTTGACTGTTTCTTATCGAAAAAAGAGAGAGACTTGTTACTGACTCTTTATGTAAGCCATTTAAAGAATGCTTTCCTCTTTTGAAAGTCTTAATGTCAAGATAACATTTGTCTTCTAAGTGCTTCATTCTGCGTTTCCTTCTGATTTGAATTTCTGCATGTGATATGCTGACTCACTCTGAAAATCAGTCAACTACGACTACTCTCCTTGATGAAGAAAGCAAACCTGTTGTATAGTGAGACCGTCCTCCTCGGGAGATGCATCAGAATAGGCTCGAATAACATTCCATTCGACGGTATTTAATCGAACAGAAGTCTTACCTATCTTGGGGTCCATAATGGTTATCATGGGATTTTTCTTTACATTCTGGACCTCTTTCAGCTGTCTTCACAAGCAGAACTAATGTTATACCTTCCTAGCATGAAACATTACTTTCTTTACTATCTTTATTCCAGAGTTGTTGACTTTCTCTTGGAAACTTTCTTCATCTATTTAGCCTTCAAGCTGTTATTTGCAACTTGGCCCATATGGGACTCATAGAAAATCATTCTTTTCCTCTGCTTTATAGATTTAGTTTAGCTTCTGCAAGTGTCTCAGGTATTGTCTAAAGTAACTGCTTTGGCATTTTCGCTTTTTGCTCCTTATCTAATTCTCGTATTAAATTCCACAGAGAGGTTGCTAAAGGTTTGATGAAATACCAGCCAAATATTATTATCAGTGTACATCCTTTGATGCAACATGTTCCGCTTCGTATCTTGAGGGCAAAGGGTCTTTTGAAGAAGATTGTGTTTACCACTGTTATAACAGATTTAAGCACTTGTCATCCTACTTGGTATGTTCTACCCCCATTTTTCTAATTATGCTCTCACTTGCATATGTCTGATCTTGTACGTATTACTTGTGTAAGGTTTCATAAACTTGTAACAAGATGCTACTGCCCATCTGAAGACGTGGCCAAGAGGGCATTGAAAGCTGGCCTTCAGACTTCTCAAATTAAGGTTCATGGCCTTCCTGTGCGGCCTTCCTTTGTGAAGCCTGTGCGACCAAAGGTTAGTTATCTTTCTAAGTAGCTGTTCAACTTTGATGCCATTCTGACATATGCGGAGTCCTATCGCATTTTAATGTTTCACAAGTAAACTTGGACTGTCAGTCAGTAAAACCAAAACAAAATAGCACATTCCAGCCGATGTCTGCCAAATTGCCTGTTCAACATCAACGCTAATTACATGATTCAATTTGAATGAAATTGGGTGGATCAAACTGCAATTTTAGAGATGATAACAAGTAGGGTGTGCACAGTTTCAGATGTTATGTACCCTCAAACATCGGATAAGGCTATGGTATGGTTCTGTACGTACTAGAATTCATGTGTAACCGTTCATTTTTGTTTGGATGATTTGCAATCATTGATTGAAAAAATGATAAAGTGATAAAAAATAGTAAAATAAGAAAACTTTACTACTTACAAGTGTAATGGTTTTATTCAATAAAAAGTGGAGGTGAGGTACCGAAAAGTTGGACCCTCAAACATCACACCTCTGAAAATAGGAAGTATTGTACAACAATACATGTGGCATTTGTGTGGCATGACTGATTCCCCTTTTCTGTACGAAGTACAAAGTTCAACACAGCTATTTATGTGAATATCTCTCGTGTGTTCGTATTACACATGCAGTTAAATATATAACAGGTGAAACTCTGTTGCCTATATGAAAAAGGAAATTATGAAAAAAGGAAAAAAGAGTCTAGTTACCTGTGATCAACAAAAGCCAGACTGTAGCACTCATTTATGAATGAACAGAAATATATAAACATCCACCTAATCCTAATGTACACTTGCATAGAAGTGTACAAATTTTGCGGATCAACTCAACAATGCCTGATCCGAAACATTGTGGAGCTGGCATAATGAGAATCATTTTATTTAGGTACAACAAATGATGTGTGTGTTATGTTTTATGTTATTTAATTTAGTGTGTTACTTATGATTTGTTTTGAAAATTCAAAATCTATGCGTGAGATTGTTCAAATATCTCACCCACACTTTATAATTTCAAAGTGCATAAAGCTTGTTGGTACAGACATATTGTGCTTACAAAAATCAATTTAGAAGTATTAATCGAAAGATGATTTCTTCTTGAGCCGATTTATGTTGTACACAAGTCTTTAGGGGTATTTTCCTGTCAATGTCAACATTGTTATTATTTTGATTAATTCCAAACCGCGAGGATCATACAAAGTCTTGTCTTATTTACTTTAGTGTCCTTTAGTTATAGAATAGAAGGAAAGAACATGAGCTCTTTTTTATTTATTGTAAGTTCACCTTTTTTGTGGTTTTTTTGGGGATTGTTTGGGGGGAAGACTGTTGTTTACTTTAGTACTTACCAAAAATTTCGAGTGTGTGCTATTTTGTACTAAGTGAAAGTTGATGACCTTTTTACTAGTTTTTTTTTAATGAAATTTCATATAGGAATGGATATGTCCATTGAAATGATAGTTTGGATTGATTCCTTTGCATGCTTATTTCAATGTCTCTGAAGCAGACAATGCTAATTATACTAGTTTGTTTCATATTACAACAACTAGGACGAATTGAGAAAGGAGCTTGGAATGGATGAGGATCTTCCAGCTGTATTGGTGATGGGTGGTGGGGAAGGGATGGGTCCCATTGAGGCTACTGCTCGGGCACTTGGCAAGGTGTTATATGATGAGGCTCTTGGCGAACCAATTGGTCAGGTCCTTGTGATATGTGGCCACAATAAAAAGCTCAGCAGCAGATTGCTTTCAATTGACTGGAAGATTCCTGTACAGGTATTAAACTTCCTAGGAAGTTTTTTGCAGTAGCTTGGAAGTAATTTACCTGTTTAAACTCATTTTATACCATGTACTGCCCACAGAACCAATTTTAAATAAAATTTTTGATCATTTTTAGGAAGTTTAATTAACCTATAATTGTTACTGGGGACACTGATTCTACTGAACTATGCTCTATGGTGATTGTGCAGCAAAACTTCAATCACTTTTTCTTAGAATGACAGTATTTGCAGCTCCTTTTTCATACGATGCATCTTTTCCTCCCCTTAAATTTATTTTGAATGTATTTCTGAAATTATTCCTAAGCTCCTGCCATATGTTTCAGATTGATTCCCATATCCTGATTTTGTATTGTGCTTTGGATAAATTTCTGCATTTTTAGGTTCCCTCAAGGACAAATAGTATCCGCTATGGATCATATCTATGTTTACTTGCAGTATTGCTTGCCAATGATCTCTCTCTAGTGTGTATTGTATGTGAAAGAAGTTGCTTTAATATTTCAGGTGAAGGGGTTTGTCACTAAAATGGAGGAATGTATGGGTGCTTGTGATTGCATTATCACTAAGGTAAATCTCTCATTGCACTGACATCAACAAACCTTCCCCAGTGAGCCCCAGCCAAAAAACAGCCCAAAAAAAAGAGCAACCTAATGCACGAGACTCCTATCACTATGGGTCCGGGAGAACCAGATGCATGCAACGTTACCCTTATATGCAGAAATTCTGATTTCATGCTCAAACCCTTGACACCAAGTCATAATAGACCATCCTTCATGTTGCGTCAAGGCCCACCTTAACAAAACCTTCCAACCAAAAACAAAAGAAAAAAAAGTGAGACATTATAACCCATCTGATGAGCAGTGCGTTTTCTATAGGCTGGTCCAGGGACTATTGCAGAAGCTATGATCCGAGGACTCCCCATAATTTTAAATGATTACATTGCTGGACAGGTATTCTTTAAGATTGTGTTTTATTTTCGCTTTCTATGGACATATTTAATTCTTTTATTTTTAAATTTTTATTGCAATCCAGTCTATGTATTCTGTATTTCTTATTTTTCCTCGGAAGTAAATCTGTTGTTGGTGACAATAGTTGTTAAATTTTACCATTCTCGATTCAAGTTTTAACTATTTGATTCGAGACAAATTTGTGGGTAAAAACGATTCTTACCATTCAGTAACCTATTGAGTTGACAAGCAAAAAGACATCCCCTGAATCTATGTGCTCTTTCTCCTCTGAGAAGTTTTCTAAAGCATCTTTAAGGGTTTTAGTATTAATTTTGTTCGTTTCTTTTCTTCTTTTTCTTTTGATATTGTTGGAGATCTATAAACTCTTTCTTCAAGAGCCAAATATTAGGTCTTTCTCTCTTTATGTACATGGTCTTGTTTTCTGTTCATTTTTCAACTATTGCTTTCTCGTCCTTTTTTTTGCTAAACATAGTTACTACTTGTCAAGGGCTTTCTTTCTTTCTTTTGGTTAAAAATGAAAGGCACATGGGGTGATGATCCCACATGGAAATATGGTGCTTTATTGGTATTGATTGCTCTGCTAAAATCATTGTATATATGTTGTGTTAGGGTAATGTATATTCTACCAGTGCTCTTTTGGATGAAATAATTGCTGTTTCTGATGGACTTCATGTCAGGGAAGAGTCGCTAGATGTTAGAAAGAAGTTCCTTTTTTTGGAGATGATGTAAAAGTAGACAAATAGTTAAAATGGTGATTAGGGGGGTTGCTTTGAAAGTATCAAAAAGGTGGTACAAATGATAAGTATGAGTAGTTGAGTACTTTACTATAAAAGGAAAAGCAAGATTAAGAAAGTTCAGAAACCGATAAAACTGAATTTGTAAAGAAGTGAGCTCCTTCTTTGCTTTATGGATACCAATAGAAATGGCTGCCCGTTGTTCTAAGCATCCCTTCGAGTAAGAACCTCTGCCACAAGTTTGACGAAGTTGACCAAAGATCAAAATTTTGTTTATTTTCCACCGAAGCGACCGAGATGTTTCGGTTTCCATAGAAACCAAAGTAAATCTATGCTTGATTGAAATTCAATATTTTGAGGTGTTTGTAGGTGGTTTGATATGTTTCAATTGATGTTTCAAAAACAAATTTTTAAATTTTCTCCATTTGTATTTATTTACAAAATATTTTTGAAACGTTTTCCTTTTCTAACTGATTGAAAACTATGCGGTGAGCGTATAGTGTCAAGCACAAATTACTTGATTTTGACATGACAAACCAATTTAAATTGGTTGTCTAAAGAAAATTTTTGATATTCTTATTTTTGTTCTTAACTTGGTAGTGTATGAATCTTTATGGAATCAGAGGGTTTTTTTTACTTCATTATTCTAGTATATGGACCATGTGAATGTTTAATTCATGGGGGATCTATGGATGGTGGATTTGGTTGAGAAAGAAGGGGCTTTCGTCTTGGGACTCTAATTTATGTGTTATGTATGTGAGCCCAAGCACGACACGGATAAGTTGGTGTCTAGATATATGATACCATAAATAAATTTATTTGCGTTAGAGTGGAATAGTGATCGATACGAACCTGAATGACATGACACAACTCAATTCCCCCCCTATTTTATAAAGGATGAATGTTGTACGGAAAAATCTAACCACTGAGTTAAGTAGGTAAATAAGAGTTCCTATTCGATCCATTCCTTTTCTTCTTCACAGTTTGCTATAATAATGGAATTCAAAAGTTAGTAATGCAAAGACATAAACTCCTTTCATCAGATCATCTGGTTCTTAAAAAAATCACAAAGTTCACATACATTAGTATTCCTCTTTGCTAATATTTTGTTGTTTATTTGGTATATACCACATTTCACCGATTGTTTGAATTAAATATTGAATCTTATGAGTCTCCATTCTATTCTTGATTTGACAACAATGATTTGTTCAGTAGAGTACACATATTAATGTACACTAATGAGTCTGCAGCTGGCTAAATATTACATTCTAAGATGAAGAGTACTTGAAATTGAGATTGCATCGCTTGCAAAACCTCCAGGAAGTTATGATGCCTTGATTAGTTTAGAAATATGCAACAGCTCTTTATAAAAGTTAATATATTATACAACTTTGAGGAGGGTGCTTTTTAAATATTCCCGACTTGCACACATCAAAATTGCAATTGGGTGTATTATATGCCTTGCCCATATACTTGAAACACTTCCAGCAAAGAGGAAGAAAATGCAGCTATCTTCAGAAAATGTCTTGATTTTCAGGTATTGGCACTGGTATTTTTTACATTGATGAAGATATCACAATATGAAGGATAATCGAGTGCATCTTACTTTTCACGAGTTATTCTCTTCATTTTGTTTGTCCGATAGTACATGTACTTGGTCAGGTATAGATGAAAAACACCATCATATAGCTTTTATAGGACGTGTGTGGGGATATGTACGCAAGTTGGCTTCCTTTCTTTTGTGCCTCTTCTCTATGTGTTTCAATCAGTATATGCATACATATATGCTTGCATACTTATAGAAGACAGGGCTTCGTTTATGGCCTCCAAAATCCATTCCATTTTGTACAGTCCTATACTCTCCTTGCAGTTTTCTCACAACGTTAACTGAATTGGGTCAAAATTTTATAACCAAACCAATTCTCCGCATTTTAGCATACTTCACATTTCCTTCGTATCATCAGACTCTCTTTTAGGACCCACTTGCACACCTTGTGTGTTGGAACCAGCTCATGTTTACATATATTCCATCCTGATAACTTGACAATACACGTATTTTAGGAATTGTTTTCTGTGTTTCTCCTGATGATTGAGTTTTATGTGGGACAATGAGCAAGGCTTGGACTTTATGCAACTGTAGCTCTGACATATCTTGGACTCTACACTCCGTCATTCAAGTACATAGCCATTATACTAGTACCATAACCTGTAAAAGAAAGTATTATTTATGAGAATGGTTTTAGATTTGTATCCGCCGCTGCGACTAAAGTTGGGATAAGGCTGTGTTGAGTTAGGTCGAGTACTCGTGCCATTTTGATTTGTCTTTATTCTTTTTAGTGTTAACTTCTTACTTTTCTATGTTTGTAAACTGATAACAGGGGTCCAGGTTTAAGGTTTGAATTAGGGTTGAAAGGGGAGGTCTATGGGCTTTCCAGGTGATGGGAACAGTAAGTTTCCGGTTTCATGGGTCTTTTGGATTGCTAGTGTTTAGGCTTTTTAGTGTGAATGATTGGACTTCAAAAGAAGATTTGAGGTGGTAAAAGGTGATTAACCAGATTGGTTGCAGGAATAAAGGTCCATCGAAATGAGAAGAATGAGAAGAGAACAAGAAGAAAAGAGAAGAGAACTCATGCTTGAGCCTTGCAAGCATTAGGCAAAACACAGACATGGCATCACTTTTTTCCAAAATGCAAGTTCTAAGAAGTCGGGAAGTTTATATAGATTTATGTGGGTTGCTGGCTCTCTCCTAACCTACTAAGACAAGGGCTCTCTTTTTGGCTTTTTTTTTTAATGAGAACTAAAACTAAAAGTCTCAATTTGGGAGGTTGATTCATTCCATAGTTTGGTTGAAAAAGTTTGTATTACTTGCATGGTTGGTTGCCATTACGCTTGTTAACTTGCTTCAGTCCATCAACTAAGTTGTTTTGTTTTGAGTGTATCTCCTGCTACTCCGAAAGGGAAAGGTGCAGAATTAAGCTCCTAATGGAAGGGGTTTGTGCCTTGACTTGTGAGAAAAAACAAGGAGAGGGGTTAACACAACCCCCACTCCCTCTCTTCTTCCTTCTTCCCCCTTCTCCCTTCCCATGGGTGGAAGTGTGGATGCTAACTGGTAATTGAGGTGAAAGAATTGGTTGAACTTTGTCTTGCCATCTGCCCCACCGGCTCTGAATTGGCCCTTATGACAAGGAGAGTAGCTGGCTTCAAGGAAAATATATTTGATTGTAGAATTTAAACAAGTTCAACACAAGTATCAAAACGGCCAGTCTCGATGTATTTTGCACAGAAAAGTAGTTATTATTTGCTACATTTTACCATTCATTAATGTTGTATGTCATATTGCAGCAATGTTAATGACTCAAATGTGGATGTCGGATCAGGAGGAACCCCTTTAAAGCTAATATTAGTACCTTAAATTTCTTCTCTCATTGCAGGAAGCTGGAAATGTGCCATATGTAGTGGAAAACGGTTGCGGAAAGTTTTCAAAGTCACCAAAGCAGATAGCTAACATAGTTGCTCAATGGTTTGGTCCAAAAGCAGATGAGCTCAATGTCATGTCGCAAAATGCACTTCGGTTGGCACGGCCAGATGCTGTGTTTAAGATCGTCCATGATCTTCATGAGCTGGTCAGACAGAGAAGTTTTGTACCCCAGTATTGTTCAACTTAAACCAATTGCCTTGAATCATTTTTGACTAGTTCTAATAGAATGTTACACCAGGCCAAAATAAGTCTCTCTTTTCATTCCTTGCGTGGCAGTGAAAAGGCGAAAAAGTACGATGTCATGTATTTTCTTCAAAATATAATTTTTTTGCTCAGAATTGTTTACTTCCATCTCTATTTGTGGGAGAAATTGATGCATACTTTCGCATGTTTCGTGCTTGAAAAAAAAAATCGAGAGGAAGACAAATTCGAGAGGAGGGAGAGACTTGGATTTTCAATCTTGGCAGTCAATGAGCTGTTTAGTTTCCCTGGGGCTTAACAGGGGAGAAGTCCACTGAAGATTAGGCCTTTGCTGAACAAGCTGTCCCAAAAAGATGAACCAACCTTCTAAAGGAAGAGTTCACTTAGGCTTGAATTGAGAGCTGGGCAAGAAGATTTATAACGAGTCTAGCTACTACTAATGGCCTAATTCATCCCTTACAGGCAATGCCTTACGAACATGAGAGCGCGCGCGCACAGAGGCTGGTTTTAGCTGAGATTTGGGCCATCTCGAAGTGGTCTTCAGTACTCCAGTTTTGGAGTTCCTTCAAAATTCAAAGGGTTTCTTGCTTTCCACTTAAATCTGGAGAAGAAAACTTCTTTAACGATATTACTTCAGGCTGCTTTACCTAGTTAACAAATTTGAGTTTACCTTTAATGGGTTGGAGTGATAAAAGAGTGAACCCATCAAATAAATGGGTACATAGTTCAGTTGAATAAATGCATAGACAGTTGGTCTCAAAGTTAGACATCCCCGAAATTCACAAAAAGACCTATATGATTTTGCTAAGGAAGCTTTGATGATCTGCATCGATACTTGTTGAGAAGATGTTTAATTAAATTTGATCAAAACTGACAAGTTTTGAAATTGAAACAATCCAAATTCTGGATGATGACATGGCAATACATAAGTGAATTCATCAAAAGCTGTGCGCTACAAATTTTCTGCACCAAATAACAGGTCTACTTGAAGATAGACCGAAAACTTTAGCTTTTGTTGAATTCAGAGAAAAAGAAGTTTAGTTTATTTAGACTCAAGTTTATTGGGCGGTTTTCTATCAGCATATTAGGCAAAAATAATTTTTATCAACACTAAAAAAAATTGTAAAATAGGGCTTACCCAAGTTAATTTTAAAAAATAGAAAATTAAATTAAAAAAGTCAAACAAAAAAATAAAATATATCAAAATCAGTGTTATCAAAATTGGACCTAACCAACCAATCCAACCGGTGAAACCGGTCCGATTATGTTATTGGGTTGTTTATGTACTTGAACCGTATTTGAACCGTTGATTTTATCAACGCAGTTTGCACGGAACCAGACCTCTTCTCCTTTTCCAACTACATCTCTTCTCCTTCTCCAGCTCCCAACCTGCAGCGGTCCAGCCATCAGTCAATCTCACTTGATCTCGTCACATGATCTCACTCTCGTGTCTCATCTAACTCTAGGGCCCTCTCTCTCTTCTCCAATCTCTCTCTCTCTCTCTCTCTCCATTTTTGTCTCTCTACTTGCTACCAGAAATTTTTTATTTTTAGATAACATTTTTGATATTTTTTAATGTTTTATTGGACCCACAAACATGTTTACAAAATTAGCAAACAAAAATTATAAAACATATTACATTTATTTTAGTGTAATTGTATGTTTTATAATTTATTTGTTATACAATTGATCTAAACAATTGATTCAATGATTAAATCAATAAATTATTGATCTGGTCTATTTGTCGAGTTGGTTTCTGAAAACTATCATCGAACCCATTACCAATTATTGAACTAGTGTTATCAGAATTAGACTGTCCTGTCAATCAGTTGGACCGTGAACCAGGCCTAGAACGATCCGATTCTTGAGTTAGACCACATAGGCATGAGAATCGTCTTTCAACTGTTAAACTGGCCGGTCTTTTATGAAAACCAGTGAACTGGACAAGTTCTAAAAACTGGACGGTTGGGGTCTCACTGTCTTGGCTCTCTACTTCAGCCTTCAAGTCTTCCTTCTCAGGTGACGAACAAGCAGTAGTTTAAGCCTTCCTTCTCTCAGCATAACTCTCAGCAGACAAGGACGACGAGATCTAGGTGAGGCAAGATCAAAAATCTTGTAACGAGTTCCTTCCTTCTCCAGACGACGTCAACATCTTCCATCTCTCTTTGTTATGTCCTCTCTCTCTCTTTCTGATGGACTCGCCTATGATTGTTAGTCATGAAATGTGAGTAAGACAAATGGTCCTTTCACATTGTTCAAAGAAAAGCTCTCTCTTTTTTATCCCACTAACTGGCATTGCTTGTCATTTACTATTCTGTCTCTCTCTTTCTCTCTCTCACACACACACTCTTATTTTTAATGAAGTCTAGAGGCATTTCTTCCTTCATTATTTTCATATTTTTCTTTTTGTTCGTTGCTTTACTTTATTTGTGAAATGTATAGTTTTGAATTGATTTGTCTTGTGATAATAGTAATATTTTTGTTTATATTCTTTATTCTTTGGATTTTATGAACATATTATTTTTTTTAGTTGAAGTATTATATTTTATAATTTTATAATTTGTTTATTATACGACTGATCCAACTAGTTGAACCAGTGAACCATTGACCTAATCTCTCTGCTAGTTTAATGTCCAATCCAGTTCTGATGACACTGGATTAAACCCTATAACCCAGCACCCAATGCCCCAACTCTTTGACCTATGCTAAGTCTAACCCTAGGTTTAAACCACCGTCAATCACTAGCCACAGCCACCGACCACCAACCACCAAACAAAAAGAAAGATAGAGACTCTACGTTACAAAGAGGGATAACCCCTACTCCCATTCCCATGTCGCAGATCTCTTTCTCTCTAGACTCAATTCACACCCTCACCTTATCAATATCCTCAAGCCACAGCCTTTCTCCATTTAAAATCTAGTGATACATCAAGGATTCTAACGATCAGCTATTTGTGATGAATCACTCTCAACGTTGGTGGATTTGGGTTGGTGTTGGTTGGGTTTGTGGTAGTTGTATGTATGTGTGAGCTCGAAGAAAAGGACACTTAGTTCTGTGTAGGGCCAACCTAGACCATAAGCCACTAAAACGCTAGCTTAGGACCCCAAAAATAGGCGCCTCCAAATACATACATCACTTTTATACTATTTTTCAAATGTGAGTCAAATTCATTTAATAATAAAATGTCCAGATTAACTGTTTATCCTCCACCAGCAACTCTCCTCAAACCACTCCCCTTTTTCTCTCTCTACAATAATATAAATCTATGTAAATAGTAAGATTCATCTTTAAATGCATGTATAGTTTATAAAATTGTATTGATAATTCCCGTTATAGTTGTTTCTGAAAAAAAGAAGTTTTTCAAAATTAAAAGTAACAATATCTTATTTGTGATCAACTGTATCACAAAAAAATTAAATGAATTGGATATAGTATCAATTGAAAGTGATACATTAGCAAACATTAAATATAAACTTTTAATTAGTAATTTTGCATCACAAAAAACAAGAATAATAATTTTTACATAAAACTATAGTATAATATATATTCATAATATATTTTGAAAGGGCTCGGCTCCAAACTTTCGTTTAGAGCCCCCAATTCTATTGAGCTGCCCCTTGAGTCTGTGTTGATTGCACCACCCCAATCCTATTACTCATATCCATATATGTGAAAAAACAGATCAACACATATCGGAAAAATCAAATTTTAGGCAAATCAATACACGGATTGAACTTACTAAGATATGCACACAAATCTAGAAAATAGAAAAATTGTACTCTCTGGAGGTCTAGAAGAGCTAGGCGTAGAGTAACGGAGGAAGAGCTCTGAAAAAGAAGGCACATTAGTTGTTTTTATAGCAATAACCCAACATTTTGTAAAGTATACATTTTCCAGTGAAGGAATTTGCACGGCTAGATCATTCTCTGCCTTCACCATCCTTTGTTCGAAGGCAGCATCTTCCAGAAGCTTGGCCTCAGCCTTAAACCTCTCAAATTCCTCCAAAAGAGTGGAGTGTTCAAGTTGGGTCTGCAAAAGCTCCACATTGATTGCACTCTATGAAGTTTTCAACTCGTCCACCTCCACTACAAGCTTTTTGTTCTAGTTTGTCAAGCTGAGCATTTGAGCCTAAAGAACAAGCATTTCTTCACAAAGCTTGGCATATTCCTCATCAACACCCTTATTCACCAGTGCAGACATACATTCATAAGTAGCCTCCTTCATAGCCTTGTCTTTTCCTCGCCCCAATCTCATAAACTTTTAGGAGGCCCTCGTCATAAGAAAATAGAAGAAATGAATGAAAAGGAAAACAGAGATCACCTTTCTAAGAGAAGGAGAAAAAAAATAATATAAAAGGCAAATACCAGAACCATTTGCTGGATGGCTTGCCGAGCGATCTCATCATCAGACACTGCATCATTTGTAGTAAGGTCACGAAGCAAGATCACTCCCTTGACTATCCCCACTGCAACATTCATGTCCTCTAAAGCTGAGTCCTAAACAGTGATTTTTTTTCCTTTAACTTTCAGGATAGGACGAAAAAGAGGGATTTGTCGTTCAACAAAAACTTCAGATGATGGCTCTATAATCCTTCTCTTCTTTATTAAACTCTCCTCAACTTGCACCTCTACATCAGGTGACCATGTGGACAAGGAGGCGACTATAGGAATAGTAGGAGCCACCTCGGAAGTAGGCTTAAGATAAAGGACCCAATCTTCACGAGTGACTTGTGTCTCAACACGTTCAAGGGCATCCTAAGAAGGAATCATCTACTCGGCTTCTGGAGCAGGTAAATAAGTTGTACCATTAGGAATCTAAACAATTAAAGGGGTGTATTCAGAGGGCTCACCCGAGGAAAGAAAACTTAAGAAATTCTTCACTGATATGTTCTTTTCAAATGAAGGGATGCCAGATTTTTGTCAAGAGCGTGGGGTAGCAACATGTTGAGCTTGTAGTGTATCTCGGTCTTCGACAAGGGTGGCATTGGCTCTCCTAAGGACTACAATGAATGAATGATAGGTGGGGGTGTATCCAAGAAGGACATGG